ATATTTTTCTTTGTTTTTATAAAAGTGAAGACAAAGCATGACTGTACATATTCATAATGGTCATATGGTATCATGTTTTCAGTTTTAAACATCAACACTTGAAAGCCTTTTTACAAGGATTCATATAACTTTAATTTTTCATGGAAGGAAAATTATACAAGACCAAAAATTTGTATTATCCTTCTCTTTGACAAGTGGCAGATGTAACAAGTACTGTTTTTCTTTCTTTGTATTATATGTATGAAAAGAACAGAATCAGATTGCCACATTGTAGGAGGTAATATTTTTAAGGATAGCATCTGGTTCTTTAAGTACAGTTTCATTTTATTCACTTGACATTTCTGTATTTGTTGCTCTGTAAGTGTAAAGATCTGTTGTCTTTCATTTAATTCTTAGAACATTTTCAGCAATCCAAGAAAGAAACCCTCTACTTCTTAATAGTCACTGTCCTTCACTACTAAGATCTGGCTTCTTAAGTTCTAGACAGCTACTAATCTTTCTGTTTCTATAGATTAGCTTATACTGAACATTTTAGATGAACAGGCTCATATAAAATGTGGCCTCCTGTATCTGTCTTTGTTTGCTTAATGTAATGTTTTCAAGTTTCATCTTCTTGTCTTATGTGTTAGTACTTCATTTCTATTTTATCAGTGAATATTCCATTGTATGGGTATACTACACTGTGTGTGTGTGTGTGTGTGTGTACATTGCTTGATTGATTTCGGTACCATGAGGGAATTTATATAGTCATATATTACTGCTGAATAGAGAAGTGATCCCAATATCACAATGAAATTATAGTTAAGAAGATTCTTTTAACAGAATCTTAGATTCATCATACTAAATAAATTGAAATTGAACTAGAACAGTTAAGATGGTAGTGTAATTTAGGTATGATTTGTTGAACCACTGAACTGAAATGGTAGCAATGGTAAGAAAGTAAAAACTAATCTGGAATGTATTGAGGAAATAATCTGTAATGATTAATTAAAAGGAAGGGGGGAAAAAACAGAAGAAAGAACTCCCAAATTATAACTTAAGTGAGAAACTCATTTTCCTTTAATCTATGAGAGAAATAAGTTGGTTAGATAGGGAAAAAACAAGAGAGATTTTATTTTAAATAGTATAACTATCTTATTTTTCATTCAAACTGGAATACTGTAAGATTAAAGAAAGGGGCTATTAGTAATTATACCAGTTCAATAGGGAAAGGTGGGACTACCTTGGGCTTACTTGGATACAGTGTCAGAATCTATGCTGAATTTCTGGTGACTGAAAATTCAATTGTGTGTCTTGTATAGCAGTTAAAAATACAGAAGCATGGACTGTGGTTGTAGTTCAGTGTAGAGCACTTGCCTTGCACATGTGAGGCACTGGGTTTGATCCTCAGCACCACATAAAAATAAATAAATTAATTAAAGATATTGAGTCCATGTACAACTAAAAATATTTTTCATAAAATACAGAAGCAGGGCTAGGGTTGTGGCTCAGCGGTAGAGTACTTACCTAGCACATGCAAGGCCCTGGGTTTGATCCTCAACACCACATAAAAATAAATAAATAAAATAAAGGTATTGTGTCTTAATACAACTAAAATAAATATTTTTTAAAAATACAGAAGTAGAGCTTGGGGTTAGAAATAAACATTTGGCATATTGAAACCCCAGATTTCTTAGAGAAGGTAATACAGAAGATAAAAATAACAGAAAATTAAAACTGAGCCTGTTTGCAGAATTAAAAAATAGCTGAAAGTTGTCCAGTTTCTCTTTTCTAAGAATCTGTTATTTATGCTAAAATTGCCCCTCTTTTGGGCCTTATTGTTAAGGTAAGTGAATAAATTTCCGAATTTTATGGCTCTTGAGGTTTTCAGAGTTAAATACCTTCATTTGATATTCTGGTAAAAGATCTACTTCTTTTTCTCATAAAAGCTGTCTACATACATTTCAAAGTCTGAATTCTAAATGGTGGGTCTGTAGTTCTCAACTTAAGATACCCTGAATAATAGAATTTGCATATTTTAACTACACCATTTAGAAATATTTAGCATACTTAGTAAAATTTCTAAATATTTCAGCATATTTCCTCAATGATTTAGTCATTCTTTTATATAATTATATACTTTCATACTTATGAGGTATTAGCATTTAAAAACATACTTCCGAAGAAAACATTGCTTAAAAAAAAAAGTTTAGATGTAAAGGCAATATTTTGGATATAAACCTTATTGTAAGTTAAGGTCACACTATTTTAAAATTCCACAATAAAATTTGTTGTATTTTACAATAAAATATACTATCTATTCCTTAGTCTAGCCCTTCTTTGGTTACAGCCACAATTAGGAGGACAAAAAGGAATTATTGAAATATACATAAAGAATAGTCTTTAAATTTAGCAGTTTGTTACAGGAATTTCAGGATACTTTTATTGGACTGGGGACGGAGGTAAGTGGTTAGAGCACTTGCTTCACACATGGAAAGTTCTCTCTCCAGCACCATCAAAAATACATAAATAAAAATTTGAAAATACATTTTTATCTGAGTATCATACCAGTATAATTTTAGTGTGCTGTGTCAATATACATTAACTCATGCTTCACTAACAGATGTAAATTTAGGAACTTAAGACTTGTTTCTCTTACCTGCTATGTATTCATTGCTGGTTGGTAGAGGAGATTGTACTTATCATTGTTAGATCTGATGATACCACAATAATCTGGTGCATTATTAGTCACTGTGCCAGAGGGGAAATGATAGCTTTTCACACCAGCAAGTAAATATGCAGCCAGGAAGTGAGTGACATGTCACTTTCCTCTCAATTTATTAGGGGGCCAGAAAAGCACAATCCTACCATGTGCTTGCAAAGCAGAAAACTAAACACATTTGGCATAGAGTGTTTTAATTACTATTGTCCTCACTTTAATTACTATTGTCCTTCACTTTCCCAAACATCAACTATTTTATCACTACATTAGTCAACTAAGGGAAAGAACTAGTATAGTTCTGTAGTATCACATAACATAGATTAAATGATTAAGCATTATAACATTAAAAATGCTTATAAAAATGTATTTAAGAACTTATGAAATTGATATGTTATTCTCTCTTAGGGCTCAGCTGATCCTCTAAATAGTGCTTTCCATTTGACTTACAACATGGTTTTAAACTTACTACGTGTAGAAGAAATTAATCCTGAGTATATGTTGGAAAAATCCTTCTACCAGTTTCAGCATTATAGAGCAATTCCAGGAGTAGTAGAAAGTAAGTATAAAATGACTGTAACAGAGAAAGTAAGTATAAAATTACTATAATAACAAAATGACTGCATTGCTGACTGCATTTTGTCACTTTTTTTTTTTTTCTAGTAAGGCAAAGCTTGGTCTCTGTATAAAAAAGACTGCAGAACTAAATTCTGGTCTTTTTATAGAGAGGAACATTTGGCAATACATTTTTTTCTAGTTGGTTCCACCATAGTACAATTTATTGGTTTAGATACAGATATATGTATCACATTATTCATGTTTTGGAATAATAGTACAACCAAAAGCTTGACATATTAAAATTTGATTTGTAAGAAACATGTATATTTTAGTCTTAACCTTTAATTACTTCTCATTATGAGAGTGTCACAGCATAAGCTTATGAATGATTATTGAAATATAACACTTTAATGTGGATTCATTTCATTGCCTTTAGAACTTCTAATTCCTGATATTAAGATAATGATTTTTAAAGTCCCAAACTAAATTTTCTATGGTAACTACATTCAAATTATTCATTGATCTTTATAGAGGGTAGTGTGGCAGATCATCATATAGTGCTGATTTAAAAGTAAATAAAGGCAAAAGTTTAAGTTACTGGTTTACATAAATATTATAAAAATAGTTCACAGTTATTGCAAAAAAAGAAAAGTGCAGTAAACAGAAAAGCTAAAACCATTTATAATCTCACACAGGTGGCTGTACAACTACTGTTAACAGTTTTCTTTCTTCCATCCTTTCTCATGCTTGTGCTTTTCTTTTTTAATAAGGTAAATACAGTTGAGCTTTTTTTCATAATAGTTACTATTGTGCTTGTAATTTATATCATTGCTTATTGTTTGTATCATATGTTAAATATTTACCCTATGCCTAGCCTGTATTAAATATTTTACATTTACTAGCTTGTTAATTGTAGCTTTTTAAAATTGAAGTTCAAGGGACTGGGGTTGTGGCTCAATGGTAGAGAGCTCACCTAGCATGCACGAGGCACTGGGTTCTATTCTCAGCATCACATAAAAATAAAGATATTGTGTCCACCTAAAACTTAAGAATAAATATTTTAAAAAGTAATAAAATAAAATTGAAGTTTAAATTCCTTTGAAAAAATGTGATTTTTTGTTGTTGTTGGGTGTGGTGGTGCACACCTGTGATCCCAGCAACTCAGGAGGCTGAGGCAGGAAGATCACAAGTACAAAGCCAGCCTCAACAAAAGCAAGGTACTAAGCAACTCAGTGAGGCCCTGTCTCTAAATAAAATACAAAATAGGGCTAGGGATATAGCTCAGTGGTTGAGTGCCCCTTAATTCAATGCCCAGTACCCCATTCCCCCAAAAGAAAAATGTGATTTTTAAAATAAGTGCATAATATTTTATTTTGTGAATATATCATTATTTATTTAACAATGAGATTTCTTTCTGTCTCAAGTATGTAGGTCAGTTCTAATCTGTTTTTTTTTTTAAAGTGGGGACTTACAACATGACTTACAACGTGGTTTTAACTTACTACGTGTAAGTAGAGACCCACTCACCCACTCTTTTTTGTTTTTTAATTTGTTGTTGTTGTAGTAGATGGACAGCATGCCTTTATTTTATTTTATGTTTTTCATCTGATGCTGAGGATTGAACCTAGCGCTTCACACGCCTCACCCACTCATTTTTATTGTCGCCAAATTAAATGAAGTATAATGTGCCCTAGAGGAATGGAAAAGGCTTAGGAGATCCAAGAAAGTTAAAGTCTGTCTCGGTGGCTGCTTCAACAGCACATATACAAAAATTGGAACGATACAGAGAAGATAAGCATGGCCCCTGGGCAAGAATGACATGCAAATTCATGAAGCAGTTCATATTTTAAAAACAAAAATTTTCTCTCATTGTTTTTTACCTTTGCCTAGATGATAACCATAACTATTTCCCCTTAATACCTCTGGTGTTAGATAAAATTTTTTCAACATTTAACTAGAAGGAGATTTGGCATCATTTTACAGTTTTAAAAATGGGTGTGGGTTAGAGCTAGAGAAATTAAGTCGGTGTCTTAAGATACACATTTGATTTATGGCAGAATCAAGATTAGAATCTTGGACTCCTGCTACCAATCAATCTTTTTAATAAGAGAACAAGAGTATCTCTAGTAACTTCCTTAACTGACATAAAATAAGGATGACAAAAGAATAAAAAACTTGAGCTAGGTGGTTTTAAGACTCACCTTTAAATTTTCAGAAAGTTGTTGAATTTTTAAAGCACATCTATAAAATCAATGGCAAATATATAATTTCAGATGTTTTTATTATTTTCTTATAAAAATATATAATTCCATTTGTTGGTAGCAAAGAGAAAGTATATTTTTAGTTTTAGAGAACTGTATTTTCTTTTTATATATTTTTTTTAGTTGTTGATAGACCTTTATTTTATTCATTATTTATGCATGGTGCTGAGAATCGAACCCAGTGCCTCACACATGTCTACCGCTGAGCCACAATCCCAGCCCTAGAGAACTGTATTTTTAAGGGAGCTGTAAGTCTCCTCCCACCAAGAATTATGTAATAATAAAATAACAAGATCAAGAAGATTTAAGTATACTTTGGATTTGAGTTTGAATCAAATTTTGGATTTGAGTTTGAATCAAATTAGCATGAGAGAAGGAAATTCATGAATTTTAGCTCATATCATAGAAATTTCAGATATTTTCATTGAAATGGGTATATGGTTACAATAGTTAAAAGAATTAAAGTCTTACTAGGCAGCACTAAGTTATGCAAAGTAGGATAATTACATTTATATGTACCCAGTGGTTAGACTGGTTTATAAACTGAATAACCAAGAGAAACAGAGATGTGTGTTGGTATACTTACATTTGCACCCCCCCCTTCATGTAGTCCAACAGTCTACTTTTTATACTTATTTTGCATTTCCGTAGAAAATACCATAAGTACATTGGGATGTAGAGGGAAAACTTCACAAATATTTTCTTATTTATTTAAAGCCCTTCTATGACTCTAGCTGAGTTCACATTTTTCATTATGACTTTGACCAAGACTCTGTTACTTACTCTGTAAACTTAAAATATAACCCCTATTTCTCCATTCCCTATCCTCTATTTTCTCAGACCTCAGCTTTTGTTTTGTTTCATTTTGATGTAATTCCTGATGTTTACCCTTCCTAGTGTTGCTTCTATACATGCATATCTTCTTGTAGTATACTCAGTCCCTACATATGTTTTTAAAGAAATGATGCCGTTTTTCTAATACTTTGAAACCTGAAATGTAGACTATTATTTTTAAAGATACAGAATAAATCTTTATTTAGTAATATAGTGCTTTATTTATTGTTGTACATCTTTTCATACAAGAGATACTTTTAATTTGGTTTACTGAATTATAGTAAAACTAGGATTTCACTGTTATTTTATTGACTAAAAAATGCATACCTAATTTAATCCTTTTGTTTAGCTTCATTAATTGATTATACCATGGCTAATAGCAGAGCTGTGGAATTAGACATGGTTTTGAGCCTTAATTATTTGTTCTGTGATATTGGGATAATATCCAATGCATGTCATGAAAATTAAATGAAATAATGTTACATGCTTAGTAAGTGCTTGTTGTAATTACTGAGAGTATTACTCTAGATCAGTAAAGCAATTTACACTTGAATCTGTTGAAAATTTTGCATAGTAGTGGGAGGGGCAGTTTGTTTCTCTGTCACTCACAGGTCTTTTCTACATATTTGGTTGCAAACTGTCTTAAGAGTTTATAGGTGTGTTTTAAGTGTTACTTCCTAAAATACTGGGATTCAAGTACTCATAGGATCTTCTACTTTTTACCCTTCATTGAAACCAGCTTCGTATGCTGATGTACTTTTAACTCTGAATGTGATAGGAGATATATAGTTGCCCTACCCACCCACTCCTACCACCATCCACAGTTGAACATTGCTTAGTCAGCCACCCATGATCAGCTGTAGGTAAAAATACTAAATGGTCCAGAAATAAAATAATTCATAAGTTTTAAATTGCACTCCATTCTGAGTGCCATCATGAAATCTTGTACCATCTTACTCTGTCCGCCCTGGGACATGAATCATCCTATCATCGTTGCTGTATATACTGACCACTTATTAGTCACTTCATAGCTGTCTGAATATCATATCTATTATTATTGTATCACAGAGCGTTGAAGAAATAGCACAAAGGTAATGATGCTGTAAGTTCAGACATGCTAAAAAGAAGAAGGTCATACATAAATTGCTTCCTTTCAGTATCATCTTACATTATCACAAAAAGAAGAATGTAGTACAGTAAGGTATTTTGAGATAGAGACCACATTCATATGGCTTTTATTATAGTATATTGTTTATTCTATTTTATTATTATTCTTAATCTTGTACTGTGTTTGATTCATATATTAAACTTTATCATAGGTTTGTATGTTTAAGTTAAAACATGGGATTTGGTACTATCCATGGTTTCAGGCATCTACTGGGGTTCTTGTAACATTACCTCATGGATAAGAGAGCACAACTTTTTTGCTCTTTCTTTAGCTTTTGAGAAGAGATTAGAGAAATTGAATTCTTTCAATTTGGAGAAAAATCAGGGCTTGCCTATACTTACTGACTTTCTGGGGTGGTACAAAACTGTAGTAAGTCTTAGATACAAAATAATGTGACTTTTAAAAATATCTTTAAATATTTTATCTCATTAGTTAAATGATCTAATATAGAAATGATTTGGAGTAGAGCAAGGTAGAAAATAGGGAAGCATGCAAGCAGATAATTTATTATCTCCTTAAACTCTTTCTGTTAATGCTGTGTTCCAGTGAGTGCTTCATAGTGTTACTTTGTAAATTTAGGTGGAAGAGCTGGATTATCATTTCATTGTCCAGTTTTTATTTTCATATAACTTCTTAATGACTTCTGTTTGTTAAGTATCTTTTTGTAGGTTTTTAGTTTTTTTTCTTTTTCTGATAATTTACTGCCATATTATGTGTTGTTATGGACAGTGTTCTAGCCTTTAATGAATTAAATACAATTCCTGTAAGCAGTGATGCAGTTCATTTAAAAGTAACCAGAGCTGGGTGTGCTGGTGCATCCCTGTAATTGCAGCTATTGAGAAGGCTGAGGCAGGAAGATCACAAATTCCAGGCCAGCCTGAGCAACTTAGCAAGACCCTGCCTTAAAAATAAATAATATAATTGCTAGGGATATAGTTTAATAGAGTGCCACTGAATTCAGTACCCCAGTATTGCACCCTCTCCAATAAAAAAGATCCAGTCATTTAAAAATAACCAAGGTAATGCTTTATACTCAAGGGAATACAAAAGACTAGCTATTTGAGAGAACAGTTTGTGAAATGGTTGATAATAGTATTAAAATTAGCATATGTGAGACCCTGAGTTCAATCCCTAGTACTGCCAAGAGAAAAAAAGAAAATGGGAGAAAATATTTGCAAGTTATCCATCTGGATAATCTGTCTAGTATCCAAAATATATCAAGCACTGTTACAACTCAGTAACAAAAGGGAACTCAATTAGACATTTTTCTAACTTATGTAGAAATGGCCCAACATCATTAGTCATAAAGGAAATGTAAATCAAAACCACGTCAGTCACTGAGGTTTTGTTTTGTTTTTTTTTTTTTTTTTAAGTAACTATACCATTTTCTTAATGCTGTAGTTACTGTGGACAATAGTTTGGCAGCCATCCTCAACAGATTAAATACAGAATTACTTTGTGACTCAGCAACTCCACACCTGAATGTATAGTCAAAAGAATTGAAAATATGTTCATATAAAACTTGGTCTCATATGAATGGTCATAGCAGTACCATGAACAGTAGCAAATATGTGGAAACAATCCAAATGTTCATCAGCTGGTAAATGTGTAAACAAATGTAGTATATTCATATAGTAGAATATTATTCAAACATAAGTCATGAAATACAGATACAAACTACATCCTGGATAGACCTTGAAAACAATATGCTAAGTAAAGGAAGCCAGACACCAAAGGCCACATATTGTATGATTCCATCTATATGAAATATGTAGAATAGGCAAATGCATAGAGAGACAGAAAGTATAGAGAGAAAGATTGGCAGAAGCAGGAATAAGGAGTATTTGCCTAAAGGATATGGAATTTCCTTTGGAGGTAGTGAAAAAGTTCTGGAACTAGATAATAGTGGTAGTTGGGTACATTGTGAATGTACTGAATATTACTAATGGTACAATTTCATGTATATTATGCCACAATAAAAATAGTTTGTTAACAGTGGGTTGGAGGTATAATGAAATGAGTAAAGAAAGGCGTTCAGCACTAGAAGCAAGATTAGGGCAGCAAGTAGAATCCAGTATAATTTGATTAACTAAGAGATAAGTTGGAGACAAAGAAGGTAAATCTTAACAGAAGGGGGAAAAACGAGACATCATGCCCTACAGTCATCTCTGAAGATCTTTTCCTTAAAACATCTAATATAATCTATGCAAACTAACTTTTCCAAATGTAGTTCTAGTGGGAAAATAAATTTCTTGGTTATAATTTATGTAAGGTAAATAATTTTTTATATCATGTATGTGTTTTATTTACAGAGGTAAAGAACTCAGAACAACAGTATAATAAAATAGTAATTCCCAATGAAGAAAGTGTAGTAATCTATTATAAGATTAGACAGCAACTTGCCAAACTGGGTAAAGAGATTGAAGATTATATTCATAAACCAAAATACTGCTTACCATTTCTACAGCCAGGCCGTTTGGTAAAGGTATGTCTTTGTTCCTTCATAAAATATTTAACTATTTGAATATTTAAAAATATTCGGATATTGTAATATTTTCTTTATCTTGATAAAATGCTTCTTGCTAC